TATTTTACTTAGAAATTAATATAGGTTATCTTAATAAAATTTTGAGTAATTTTAATTTATTTAATTGTTCAAAATTGATTAAAATTATATAATTGTATTGTATCAAACAAAATTAGATGGGATAGCTTTTAAAGATATTGAAACCTTGCACAACTGGGTCTTTCTATTCCTTTTAACTTCTTAACCTTTAGTCTATGACACTGTCATGATTCGATTCTAAAAAACGTGGTTATATTAATGTTCTTTGAATACATCTAAATTATAATATTTTAAAATATTCAATTCAATAAACGTACTAGCACTAGCTTTATAAATTCGTGTAAAGAATCCCAAAATAAATGTCTAAAATTATTAGCTAAATAACATAACGCAGTAATTTTATTAATGTACAGTATATATTTCTTTCGCGCAGTATTAAATTACGTGAGTGTTCCAAACTGCTGGCACAATTAGAAATTCACACAAATAAAAAATGAATAATTTACAAGTACTGTAGATATAGTAAAAATTCTATAACAAAATAAGTAAAGAAGTACATAAGTTTTCTTTGTAGCCTCTTAAACCTTACAATAATATTTAATAATATTACAGTAAAGAGTGCTGCGGGACAATTTAATAATGATATATTGCTGCGGCTAATTACTACATGGCTGCGCCAAAGGCTACGTTACATTATTTTAAGGGTTGCGTTTTTTTTAAAAAAAAAAAAAACGAATCACCACTTTTGTTTCATACAATAATGCCGGTAGTAACAACCGCTCAGCTTGTAAAATTACAATCGCGCACAGAAAATATACGAAACATTTGCATTTTAGCACATGTTGATCATGGAAAAACAACACTGTCTGATTCTTTGTTGGCCTCGAATGGAATAATATCTAGTAAGCTTGCGGGAAAAGTAAGATACCTTGACAGCCGAGAGGACGAACAAGAAAGAGGAATAACTATGGAAGCAAGTGGCATTTCACTTTATTTTCAAATTTTACGTAAAGCTATGGAAAAAGAAGGTATCTTAAAATTCTTAAAGGTTGAAATAATTTATATTGCTTTCGAAACTTAGTAAATTGTTTTGCTTATATAATTATAATTTAATAAAAATTTAAAAAGAAACTATAACAAATTCTGATGAATATTTGATAAATCTTATTGATGCTCCTGGACATGTCGATTTTTCAAGTGAAGTCTCGACAGCATCCAGGTTGTGCGATGGTGCTTTAATTCTTGTCGATGTTGTCGAAGGTGTTTGTACACAGGTGTGATTGAGAAACTCTTAACCGATTGATGTTAGCAAGTTGCGTTCTTTTGTTAATTGAAAAAGATTGGTTCGGCTGGATCCATTTCAATTAATGAATCTAAGTAAAATCAAATAATAAAATCGAATAAAACTTTTATTAAGACTCACACAGTGCTCCGCCAAGCTTGGGTAGAGAATGTTCGACCCATCCTGATTCTAAATAAAATAGATCGACTCATTACTGAACTGAAATTAACACCATTGGAGGCCCAAGTTCATCTAAATAAAATTATTGAACAAGTTAATGCAATAGTGGGAACTTACTTTGCCGGTGATGTGATGGAAGAAGAAACAAAAAGACACGAGGCTGAGAAAGTACGAATTACAAAGAGTTTAAACCTCATTTTTAATAGTACTAAATTGTCGCTTATATCGGCTACAGGAAAAACTCTTACATCAAGGAAAAGATTTTGAATCTATGAGTTCCGATGAAGAAATATTTGAGGAATATGATGATTCTAATATATATTTTACACCCGAGTCTGGCAACGTTGTTTTTGCTAGTGCTCTTGATGGATGGGCATTTAGGTAAATCCATTAAAATACCACAATTATATCAGTTTGTCAACAACTTCCTTTCAAAAGTTGATTGTTTACAGTGATATCCGATCCGGACGAATAGAATCGAACAATTTGCTCAAATATACGCAGCAAAATTAGGTATTAAAGAATCCATACTTCGTAAAGTACTCTGGGGTGATTATTATCTCGATCCAAAGACGAAACGTTTTTTGCAACACAAGCATCTCAAAGGGCGACAATTAAAACCAATGTTTGTTCAATTTGTGCTGGAAAACATATGGACAGTGTATGATTCAGTGATTATAAATAAGTATGTTTTAAAAAAAAAATTGATTCATGACGAAATTATGTGGCTTTAATAATCTGATTTATTTTCCCAAAATTAAGTAATCGAGAGAAAGTTGAAAAGATTGTCAAAAGTCTCCAATTGAAGATCCTACCAAGAGATATGCGCTCTAAAGATACTCGCATGTTACTGACGTCAATTTTCAATCAATGGCTGCCTTTGTCAACAGCTGTTTTACATATCCTTTATTTTCTAATGTTAATTTAGTCAAAGCTTTATATACCAATATAACAAGAAAATTCGCTACCATTTTTAATGAATTTACATTAAATCCTTAACACCATGCACTCGCCGTAATTGATCGGCTTCCATCGCCAATTGTCGCACAACCGATGCGATTACCACGAATGCTTTCTATAGATATTAAAGAAAAACCAATAAACGAAGTTGAACATGGATTATTTAGTTGTAATGTCAGTGATTCTGCACCTGTCGTTGCATACGTATCAAAAATGTTTGCTGTACATTCGGATATGTTACCGGAAAACAGAAGAAAACAGTTGTCTGCTGAAGAATTGAGAGAAAAGGGAAGGCTTCAAAGAATAGCACGGTTGCATTCTTCAAATACTCGTGCCGGAGAAGAGCCAGCCTTAAATACAGCTGCTTCAGATAGTGATAATAGCGAGATTCCAATATCTGAATCATTGGATGCTTCC